AACCCTCCCCGCTGCCGTCAGCCGCCCCGGTGTAAGGCTTTGCGGGGACACGCGTGGGGCTCCGTGCGTGGGGGCAGCGGGAGGAGCGGCGCAGCGACGGCTTGCGCCCCGTAGGAAGCGGGCAGAAAGCCACCTTAGTGTCAGAACTAATTACAGCACGGCGAGGGGTTACCTTGCCACAAGTAACGCGGGGGTGAAGCGCAGCCGCCCGGGTTTCCTCGCCCGGGGTGCTGTTAGTTGCCCTCTCCGTGTGCCAAACCGAAGCGACCAAGCAGCGACATGGCTTGGCAGAACTCGATGAAGCAGGGCGAGAGAGATTGCTACAGGCTCCCATCGGGCGGCTGGTTTTCAGCTACTTGTGTCTTCCTTCGCAGAAAGACCCAAATTACCAGATAATTATACTCAGGACACCTGGCAAAAACTCCATGAAGCGGTGGGAGCGATACAGAGTAGCATTTCTATTAAATACAACCTTGAAGAGCTCTACCAGGTAAGGTGTAGGGTTTGGGGTTTTTTTTTTTTCCAATTTAATGGAGGAAAATTGACTGCTGTCTTTCAGAGAGATACACATTTAACATGACCCGTTTTTTGTTATTATTTTGTTATTATATTATGTTAAGATTTGTTAAAAGCTGATTATGTTTTTTGAACGGTTCACCCCATACTCTGTTTCTAGTCAGTTTGCAGTTTTATATGTCAGTTCCTTGGAGAGCTACCAGGACCTGGGCCCGTGAAAAAGCAGTTTATGTTGGGAGACGTGGAAAGCTGTGCCTGGGCAGGGCTGAGATTTAAGTCTTGGTCTCTTCAACGCAGTGCCTACCCAAGATGCTGAAAATGGGATGTCACTCTTGCTGGGTTATGCAGATACATATTTTATGACGATTTCTCATTTGTACATGCTATGGTCTCTTGTGAATAGTAATGTTGAAATATTTGTTATTATTAGATAATAACGATTAGACCTCAATGTCAGTACCCTTTGGGGAATTAAGAAAGAATCTTGATTGAGCAGGCAACAAACTGTCAAGTTTACTTGTGTTTCAGATTGCTGTTACATTTTCATAACAATCAGGATCTTATTTTTTTATGAAAACGGTGAGAAAGTATTTCTGGAACATCTGGACTACTGGAACAGGGGCTAGGGAGGGTAAAAGAGAGGTACTCGTGAGCCATTTCTTTCTACTTTCTCCACTTATATATGGTTTAGTTCTATATTATTTTAAATACACATGCTTTGAGCTATTTAACTTAAGTAGTAATATTTCACAGTGATCTTGTTATAAAAAATTACTGATGCGCTAAGTTGCGCTACACAGCTTAAGTTATGAGGTTTCTGTGGGTGCAGATGTTTGATCTGCAGATGTGGATGTCATTACTAGATCAAGACTTAAGACATTATAATGCTCATCTAAAATTTTCTAAATGTTCAGTTGAGGTAGGTTTGATGTTGTCTGCAAAGTGCAGCCTGTGAGGGAGGAGAAAGCCAGCAGTCTGTATTGGGTCCATGCTCAAGAAAATCAGGATGAATTTGAGAGCTGACTATACTTGTCTCTGTGATTAATTAAGGTATATAATATATGGTTCTAAAATGGCTGATTATGTAAATGCATATTGTCCTAAGATAATTTATTCCCTTTAAATAGATAACTTGACTGTGATACATTAATCTATTAATACTTGCATGTTTGCAGAGTTTGAATTACATAATACATTTTATGGTTTTAAACTCAGCATTTGAAAAATCCTGCTTTTTCATGCCTAGCTAAAAAAAACACAACAACCCACAGATGCTTTGAGCATTACCTAACTTGTTTTCAGAGGCTCAGAAATGAGATTATAGAAATATGGCTATGAAATCGCCAGGGTACAGACTTCAGTTTTAGCAGAAGAGGAGGAGGGAGATTTCAGATAAACTATGAAGGGAGAACTGTACTTCTTGCTTTTTCTGTTTGCCTGCTTATTTGTAGAAACTGCACAAGGCCAGTCCAATAATCTGTAAGGCAGCGGTGCAAATCAGCAAGATTTCTGCACAGTGGGTGGTGGCGGTCAGTGTGCCTTTGCATAGATAGGTACTTACTCTCCTGCCAAAGGAATAAAAGATGAAGTTCAGCATCCATCGGAAACCTGATCTGTACTTACAGATCGTTTTAACTGCCTGTTGGTGAGCACCAAGTCATCCACAGGGAAAAATTTCTCTGTGTGTATCTACCTGTGCATCAGTTCTTACTCTCTGGGCGGTTTGGGGGTTGATTTTTTTTTGTGTGTGTGTGTCTTTATCTGATGTTATGGAAGGAAGTGAGAGGCCTGCTAGAGTTCAGTTAGGTGAGTGGGCTGGTGTACCAGCCTGCCTTTGAACTTTCTGATTTAGTTATTTAATTTGGCATGGTGACTGAGGAAAAACTGAAGAACAATGACAAGGCTCTATGGGAAGCCTGAAGGATACTTCTTTCCAGGCGTTAGAGGCAGCATGGGATCAGGCATGAAGGTGCTTGGCAGAGACGTAGTCAGTGAGCAATGGGAGGGTGGCAGCCAATTTTTTGTGACTAAAATAGAAATGATGTCTGGGATTGGTGGTAGATTGCACAGATTTTGATAGAAGTAGTTTGCACTTGATGGGATAGAGAAAGTGGGGCAGTGCAAAGAATTGCCAAGTGAGAAATGAGTGATAAAAATAATGGAAAAAGAAAATTCCCTTTGCAACAAGGTCCTAAATATCCTGAAATGGGGCAGCACTGCCCTTCTGGAGGACATAGAGTAGGAGAGTGTAGTAGTGAAGGAAAAAAAAATTGATGAGAGTCTTGACCAGGCTATTTGGATGGATAGGAAGGGCTGTGTCTTAGGAAACATAAAAAACTGTCTGCAAAATGATTATGTGTGAGTACTGTTTGTTGCAGTTGTCATTTTACTTACCTGTTTTAAGACCAGGTGAAAAACGTAACATAGGCACTGTGTGATGGTTTTGTTTG